GGAAAAAGGGGTGGTGGTCCCCCCCCCCCCCTGCCTCTTTCTCTGGAAGAGAAGGGTGACAGTCTGATTAGGAATTGAAATGTGTGCAGTAACCTGCCCTGAGGTGAACACTGTTAGTGCCAGGATTTCCTCTGGAAGCCGGGTTCAGCGGGATGGGCACCTCCATGGGGCTGCAGAGCGGGTGAGGTGGGCAGGGACCCCTGCAGCTCCCCGGCCCTGGCCCAGGCAGGTGCAGCCAGTGCAGGGTCTTCAGGGCTGGGGCTGGTCACGTTTTGAGTATCTCCAAGGATGAAGACCCTACAACCTCCCTGGGCAAGTTGTGACAGTGTTTGATCACACTTACAGTAAAAAGGGGCACACTTTTTTTTTAATGTTTAAGCAGAATGTCTTGTATTTCATTTTGTGCCTCTTTTTTTGTTTTTATACTCATCATCATCAGAGGGACATCAGACATCATCAAACTGTTTTGGAAAAGTACTACTGGTCTCAGGACTGCTTGGAGCAGTGTAGCTCCAAGTCATCAGGAAGAGGTCTAAGCTGAGATCTGATTGGGAAGTAACAAAAGGACGAACTGTGGTGGTAGTAACAGCATTTGGATTTTTTAAATGGTTCCAAACAGCAGTTCCTCTTTCAGCAGGGATCAGTGGTTTAGTTTGAAATCCTTTTTCTGGGATCTGGTAGCAGCCATACAGCACCTTCTGGCTTTTAAAGCCCCTCTAAAGGGGCTTGTTTTGGTCCCTGTTAGTGTTGTTCATGGCACTGATAATGTGGAATTAAGACATGGCCACCGTCCAGATAGTTTCTTAATTTATTTCTTGCTCCTGCAGAGCTGAAGGAAAATCCTTTGTTGAGCTGCACATCAGGGTCTCTTCCTGCCTGCAGCAATCTGAGAACCTCCCTCCCCTTTGTCCAGGCAGGAGGAGACAGTGTGAATTGTGGCCTCATCTGCTATGAAAAGCTATGTTCTTGTTTTTAAAGCCAGGTCTTTACACTGTCCCCATTTAGATAGTAATGAAGCAATTAACTGTGCCAGCTTGCAGGTACCAGGGTGTAGTCCGAGGCATGGCTGGGAGGGCAAATGACTTAAAGCAGACTTGCCATCGCTCAGCTGGTGCATATACCTGTGGCTCAGTCATGAGACCATAGAAGTCTGCCTTAATTAGCTGTTACCGAACCTGCAAGTTTTAAGCATGCAAGAAGAGCTGCCTCTTGGCAAGGATCGGAAGGATTTTGACCCTGTATGTTTCTAGGCAGAAATGTCCTGCACATCCCTCCTGTTCGTGCCCTGTGCATCCTCTCCTCCTCTGCCTTCCCCCCGCTGTGCCCTGCCTAGTGCAGGGGCTGGGTGTGGTGTTTCGTGTTTGCTGCGGTCCCCTTAGGCCCAATCAGCTGGCGCACAGGGACGGCGCTGACTCCGCTGTGAGGCCCTGGGCTGGCTCAGACCACAACAGGCACCAGGAAGGTCCTGCTCCCCTCCCAGCTCCTTCCACCTCTAAAGGGAGTGGGGAGCAAGGCCCTGTTCTGATTTTTTTACCCGTGGCATCACTGCAAGCTAAAACTCTATAGCTGCTCATAGAAGAGACTTCTGCTGCAACTGCAGCTGCCAGCAGGCCAGGTCCCCTGCAGATGCCGTATGCTGCTGGGTTACTTTTTTCTGAAGAGCCTCTCTCATCTTTAAACCACACAAGAGCTGGTGAGAGCTTGGTCTGGAATCGCATGTGCTGGAGTGCCCTGGTGACAGTGAGGAGGATGGGCTGCTTTTTCACATGTTGAGGGATTTATTTACAGACTTGCTGATTTTTCTAAATACTCTGCTCACCATTCAGAAGTGTTCCTGGTGTTGAGCTACAGCCCGTGCTCGGCCCTTCCCTGCCCGTGTTAGTGAAAGCCCGACGCTGTCATTGCTGTACGAGGAGGATGTAAAGGGAACAGACCCTGCCTGACTCGCGATGGTCCCAGCAGTGCATTATAAGCTGTCTGAGACAGGTTGGTTTCCTGGCTGGTGCTGCACCCCAGCACTGAGGCCGAGACACAGAGGCACACAAAACGTGGCGGATGCTGGAAGACGTGCACCGAGGCCGAGGTCACGAGTGAGTGTTGTGCTCACTCCCTAATGGCCATTTCCCCATTCGCCACCACAAGCAATAATTACCTGTGCCTACTGCACGCCCAGGGACTGCTGCAGGGACGCTTGGTTATCTGTACAAGTACTGTCGGTGTTTAAATTAAAACATGAGCGCGTGCTGCTGTAGCCCCTTCCCTGAAGAGGCCAGGAGAAGCAGCAGCAGGAGCCGTGCCAGAGCCGCTGCCCAGGGGTGCGTGCTGCGGCGCTGCAGGGCAGAGGAGGGCCAGGGCCAAGGGCTGCCGCTGGGACCCTGGCCCGCTGT